CGGGCAATTTTATACCTTCCTGCCCAGGGCATTTTTCAGGTTTCAGCGCTCTCACAATTTGAATGACAATTGCGCAGTCATACAACATTGTACCAAAACTAAAATTTTATCATTTTCACACAACTAGAGCTTTATTTTGGTGGTATTTAATCACCGCTGGAGTTTTTATTTTTTGCTAAATTAACAAAAAAAGAACAAAAATAAAAAAAATTATTCTTTGGTGAAAATAACCCAAATTAGGATGTATTATTTAGTTTGTAGGAAAGTTATAGAGTTCACAAACTATGGTATAGATCTGAATATTGATCAATCCTGAAGTACTGACGGCCAATCTAATTTCTTGAGGTCCAAGAATGTCATAACAGTACAGATATCCCCAAATGACCCCTTTGCAGAGTAGACAGTCCAACGTACTTTATAAGAGGAATGGCGAGTTTTTTGAAGTTGTATTTTTTTTGTCCATAATTTTTTGGAAAATGAAAAAATTAAAAACATTTTTTTCACTATTTTTTTTTTTACATACTGTCACCAGTGCAGTACAGCGCCATCATATAACTAGCATGGCGGTGATCAGGGACACTGACGGGTGACAGTATGAAAAAAAAATATATATTTTTTTTATTATTTTTAATTTTGTATTACATTTTTTTTTCTTTTTTTTAAGATTTTTTTTCATATTTTACTATGACCAAAGTAGTACAATGTTACCATAGTAACATTGTACTACTTTGGGGAAGTGATCAGTATTTTTTTTTTTTCTTTTACACAATTTGCTTATAGCAAAGAATTACTTTGCTATAAGCAAGCATTTACCTGAATGACATCGATTCATTCAGGGTTTTTTTTTTTTTTTTTTTTTTTTGTGCTTAGCTGTGATTTGGCCACAGCTAATCACATGACATGTGCATGTGATTAGCTGTGACCATTCACAGCTAGACACTAGTATACAATGGATGGCATGAATGAAGCCATCCATTGTATACAACTGTCATGTGACCTACTGTGATTGGTCACAGCAGGTCACATGGTACTGGCAACGGGGGCCGGTACTCAGATCTGTCATCGGCCGTGTCCAAGGTACACGGCCGGTGACAGATCACGCCGCTGTGCGCGAACTGCGCATGTGCGGGAGGAAGCCAAATGGCATACACCCCAAAAAGCTAGAGCATGTTTGCGGCCGCCAAATGGCTATAGGCCGGGCGGCTAATGGTTAAGTGGTCTGCAAGGTCCTTATTAACCGCAATCCATCAGAATCCAGTTCCCCTTACTTTGTTGTTTTTTTCAGCTTGCATTGTGGGTGTTGTGTTTTTTCTTTTGAAAACTTTGCCTATTTGCACATTGACATGTTCTTTGTATGGTTTACTGTAGTATAACAGGGAGAAGAATATTCCTTGGACCAGTTTAATAAATGAAGAGTATTTTGGATTAATAGGTCATCAGAGTGATCCGTGGTAATTGTAGCACTTTAAAAACAAACATTTCCTCGTGTCAGACCAGGAGACCTGATATTTCCTTGCATTACCTCCTTTGTTAGTGTATCACTCTCTTTATTTATGGGAAAGCTGCATGCTGCTGCCATTTAATGTACAGCAAATCGCCGCTCAGCTGTATGTTTTCTGTGGTTGTTCGGACAGGTATCCCCGCTGCTAAGCGTTCTTAAAAGTCAATAAAAGTACGTAATCAATGTCCTTCTCTACCTTCCTTATACATTGTTATTTGTGTTGTTGTTGCAGCTATTATTGTTATTAGCGCTGTACACAAATTGCTTGAAATGTTTTGCGTTGCGTGTTCCCAGTATATTGCTGAGCCGTAAGTGGAAATCTCTTTTGTGACAAACGTTCTAGTTTCTGCATTTTAGTATGATCAATATAGATTAATTACATGTATTTTTTTTTTTCTTTGCAAAAGCTGTGGAAAGTGGATGCGAGGACCTCGTAAGACTCTTGCTGAAATTTAAAGCAAAGGTGAATGGACTGCATTCGTGCTCTGGATGGAACCCTCTACACCAAGCTTCGCTCATGGTAAGCTGTTATCTGTGTTGAAATGTCATTTAAAGGTGAACCCCAAGAAAATATTTAAAAAAAAAATGGTGGCTTGCATTGTTATTTCTTTCAATTTTTTTTTTTTTTTTGAAAGGTGAACTTGAAAAAAAGCCCCCCTGTAGGTTTATACCATAATGTGCTAGTATGTACCGCATATTATGACAGACTTACCTGTCAAAGGAGGCCCTCCAGCGCTGAGCCATCAGTGCTCAGGTGCTTCCGTCTTCTTTCGGTCTTCTTTCTGGGTTTGCACTGTTCGGCCGCGATGGTGTCACTCCCATGCATGAACAAATAAGAGATCCCTGTGCTCAAATCCCAACAGCTAGTGCATGCATTTATCAATCAGGTGCTAAAGGGATGTAACCACATATTAACACTAGAAATTCTGAGGACCCTCTGCACACTGGTATGTACCCTTCCAAGCAGACTATGCAATAAACAGGGATATTTAGTTCACACATATCGCAATACATGCTTAAGCTGGCCAACTGCGTCAAAGTAATCCCTCTATGGCAGTTGTTCTCAACCTTCCTAATGCCGTGACCCTTTAATACAATTCCTCATGTTGTGGTGACCCCCAACCATAAAATTATTTACCCAGTAATTATAATTCATGAGTGTCGTTTTACCTCCAATACTGCTGCTTTCAGCACAGTAGCTGCTTTTAACAGAGTAGCTGCTTTCAGCACAGCAGCTTCTTTCTACACAGTAGCTGCTCTTTACACATCGGAAATATGTGTTTTCTGATGGTCTTAGTGGACCCCTGTGAAAGGGTCGTTCGACCCCCAAGTTGAGAACCACTGCTCTATGGCCAGTCCTACTCTGCTCTGCCTACGCAAATGCTACTGTGGACACATGCTAGCATAGGGGAAAAGACACAATGGGGAGAGCTACAAGGTTCAGGTCTGGCTACTGGCCCAACAATACAACTCCCATGCATGTACACACTTTATCACAGCACAGAGCAGGTGCCCTAAATGTACTTTGAGCTGTGCATGCGCGGCTCAGAGTACATTACTGCTGGGGTTTCTACTCTACCTGTCAGCGGTTTTTAACATTTTGAGTTAAATACTACTTTAACAGAAGCTAGAAACTTGCAGTATTTTAAGGAGAGCAAGTCAGTATGGTGATTGATTTTTATATTCAAAATACCACAATGTTGAAATTGCATACATGGTAAATACAGCTGATTCGTGCAATAAATTCTTTGCTGAATTAAAAAAAAAAATTGTAAAAATTGTAAAAATTAGAAGATAACAAAAAAGAATGAAAATAACCGGTTTTATCAATTTATAAATTGTAAGTAAGCAATGTAATTCTCCCATTCGGTCCTTTTGTGCTTTTCCAACAGGAACGTACAGACCTCATACAACTTCTACTGGAAAGTGGAGTAGATGAGGAGTGCGAGGACGACTTTGGCATTAGACCCGTGTTCATTGCAGCCCAGTATGGAAAACATGAAAGTTTAAACCTACTTTTATCTCATGGTGAGTGAGGAAACAATACAACGCCCTTCATACCTAATCGGTATCTATGAAAGGCCAATATTCTGCATCTTTTTTTTATAGTCCTCTGTAAAATTTATGTCCAATGTTCCTACCTGGCACATGCCTCATAGAGTTCACATTAATGTGTTTTGTATTTAATTATATTATTATTACTGCTAAATAAGTTATAGGAAACCACTTTGGTTCAGATACAGGTGAACATTCTAAATAGTTGAAGCCAGCTTTCCATAAAGTGCAAAACGTTTGCTGTTGTTCCATGGCTGGATGTGGAGAAGATTCATCTGGGGTTGTACTATAGGAGATGTTGGCTAGCTCTCCAGAAGATTATTTTTTGCTTTAATGACTTACATACAGTAGTTGCTAAAGAGTTTGTCATTTGTTGCTATTACCCTGGGCCCTTGGACATCCCATACAACCCTTACCCTATCCAAGTTCTATTCCCCTAATAAAACTTCCAAAGAAAAAGCTCAAGGACTGGTCGCTGCAAGGATTCAACCTATGTCTGTAGCCATTTTAATGTCTTCGGTTATTTCCAGCCTCTGAGCTCAGGAGAAATAAAGCTCCGGACACCGAAGTGTGCAAGCTAAATCTCTGAAAGTTTAATGCGTACTAGCAGTTTTTACAAAGTCAGAATGACCAACGAAATATTGTAATGACCAATGAAATATTGCACTCTTATCAAGAAAGATAACGACCACAAATGACTGAAGACCACCATATAAGGCAGTTCCAATTCTGCAGAATAGAAACTGAGTTCATGAAACAAAGAGTTGTTACAAGTGACATGTAAAACCGGAACTAACTTGTTCACACATCTAAAAGGGAGGCATTAAACAAAATGTATGCCAGTTAATAAGACCTATTTCCTTACAGTTACTGTCTCCTAATGCAAGTCTAAATGAGGAATGCATGTTGTCTGGCTGTGCAAGACTATAGGGAGACCTAAATCTCTAGCGATGCCTAAGGTGGTAGTGCTACATATACAGTAAAGCAGGCTTGTTATACTCACTGTGGAACCCAAGGTGTTAATCCTCCCATTGTGTAAAAAGGATGTTTGACCCCGTCTTCTCTGATCCTCCTTTCTTTTATTGTCCCCAATCCATCTGCTGATAGTACAGAGCTCTAGGAGGCACTCTGCACATGTTCAGTTTCTCAGTTTGGTGTGTATTGCTAGAGGTTGTTGTTAGGTTTGTTTTTTTTTTGGAGGGTGCATGTGATCAGCGCTGTCAGGATAGAGGGTCAGGGGTCTTGCAGTCTGATAGGACAGTGAGAAGAAAATGTAAACTCCTCCTACAGGATAAACCAGTGCTCAGCTGGACACTGATAGAAGTCACAAGACTGCTCTAACTGCTGATGAGAAAAGGTATTTAGCAGTTTCTATTTACTAAAATAATTGCGTTTCCATGTTCTGTGTATTGTGGGAGACCAGATATAGTGAATGCAGGGTCCGGGGAGACCGGATATAGTGAATGCAGAGTCCGGGGAGACCGGATATATTGAATGCAGGGTCTGGGGAGACCGGATATAGTGAATGCAGGGTCCGGGGAGACCAGATATAGTGAATGCAGGGTCTGGGGAGACCGGATATAGTGAATGCAGGGTCCAGGGAGAGCGGATATAGTGAATGCAGGGTCCAGGGAGACCAGATATAGTGAATGCAGGATCTGGGGAGATCAGATATAGTGAATGCAGGGTCCGGGGAGACCGGATATAGTGAATGCGGGGTCCGGGGAGAGTGGATATAGTGAATGCGGGTTCCGGGGAGATCGGATATAGTGAATGCGGGTCCGGGGAGAGCGGATATAGTGAATGCGGGGTCCAGGGAGAGCGGATATAGTGAATGCGGCGTCCAGGGAGACCAGATATAGTGAATGCAGGATCTGGGGAGATCAGATATAGTGAATGCAGGGTCCGGGGAGACCAGATATAGTGAATGCAGGGTCCGGGGAGACCAGATATAGTGAATGCGGGGTCCGGGGAGACCGGATATAGTGAATGCGGGGTCCGGGGGAGTCCGGATATAGTGAATGCGGGGTCCGGGGAGACCGGATATAGTGACTGCGGGGTCCGGGGAGACCGGATATAGTGAATGCGGGGTCCGGGGAGATCGGATATAGTGAATGCAGAGTCCGGGGAGACCGGATATATTGAATGCAGGGTCTGGGGAGAGCGGATATAGTGAATGCAGGGTCCAGGGAGAGCGGATATAGTGAATGCAGGGTCCAGGGAGACCAGATATAGTGAATGCAGGATCTGGGGAGATCAGATGTAGTGAATGCAGGGTCCGGGGAGACCAGATATAGTGAATGCAGGGTCCGGGGAGACCGGATATAGTGAATGCGGGGTCCGGGGAGACCGGATATAGTGAATGCGGGGTCCGGGGAGATCGGATATAGTGAATGCAGGGTCCGGGAAGAGCGGATCTAGTGAATGCGGGGTCCGGGGAGATCGGATCTAGTGAATGCAGGGTCCGGGGGAGAGCGGATCTAGTGAATGCGGGGTCCGGGGAGATCGGATATAGTGAATGCAGGGTCCGGGGAGATCAGATATAGTGAATGCAGGGTCCGGAGAGAGCGAATCTAGTGAATGCAGGGTCCTGGGAGAGCGGATCTAGTGAATGCAGGGTCCTGGGAGAGAGCGGATCTAGTGAATGCAGGGTCCAGGGAGAGCGAATATAGTGAATGCAGGGTCCGGAGAGAGCTGATATAGTGAATGCAGGGTCCGGGGAGACCGGATATAGTGAATGCGGGGTCCGGGGAGATCAGATATAGTGAATGCAGGGTCCGGGGAGACCAGATATAGTGAATGCAGGATCTGGGGAGATCAGATATAGTGAATGCAGGGTACGGGGAGACCAGATATAGTGAATGCAGGGTCCGGGGAGACCGGATATAGTGAATGCAGGGTCCGGGGAGACCGGATATAGTGAATGCAAGGTCCGGGGAGACCAGATATAGTGAATGCAGGGTCCGGGGAGACCGATATAGTGAATGCAGGGTCCGGGGGAGACCGGATATAGTGAATGCGGGGTCCGGGGAGACCGGATATAGTGAATGCAGGGTCCGGGGAGACCGGATATAGTGAATGCAGGGTCCGGGGAGACCGGATATAGTGAATGCGGGGTCCGGGGAGACCGGATATAGTGAATGCAGGGTCCGGGGTTTAGTAACACTTTACATGTGTTTGTGTTCTTTTTAAATTAAGCAGTGTAAGTACCAATATTTGACCCTTAAATCATTATCTGTACAGCAGAGCTCAGACTGGAGCGCAGGGAGAAGTCCTGCGGAAGTCCTAGGATTATTCTGATAAATGAGCAGACTGATGGAAGGATTGACTCATCAATCTACTACTTCTCCATTCACTGTCCAATCACAGGCTGGGGGAAGGACAAGACTTGAAAGTTTTAATTGACTGCAGCAGAGGAAATCAGGTCAGGCAGGACTGTACTTTGTGGCAGAGCTGTGTAAATCTCAGAATCGGATGGACAGAAATGCAAAACCTCTGGTAGATAAAAAGCTCATATATTCGTATTTCATCTGTGTGTTCAACCCATTTTACTTGGGTTCAGTTTTAAATCATCTGTATTAGTAATGAAATCTGATATACAGTATTTCTGCTCCCCAAGCCTGACCCTTAGTGTTCTGTTGGGTGAGGACATATTGTCTAGAGGCATGTCTGAGATGTTTCTGTAGCCAGACATAGCTCTGTAGAAAGTCGTCCCCCCCCCCCCCACCATGAATATTTCAGGTGCTGTTATACATAATTAAAGTCCTTCTTCTTCCATGCAAATGGCTTGCTTGTTTTCACAGCCGCTAGCTACTTGTTCTATTTATTTTTTTATATCTTGCATTAAATACATAGAATCGCCACCGTTAGAATCATGTTTAAAGTTAAAAGGTTTATTCATTTTATTTATATAACGTGCGGCTGCTCAGGGCATCAGTCAGTTTTGGCATGCTGTCTGTAGCCATCGCACATGCAAAAAACAATAAATGTACAGGGCCTATAATATTGCCACATACCTGATTGAAGGCCAAAGTGGCGAGAGAGCTTCCCTTGCAGCTATGGCCAAAACACCCCTGGAATCGATGACAGGGAGTGCGAGGCTCAAAGAAACATGCGTGTCAATAGGCAGATTTCCTGGTGGCTGCTCTGGGAAGTGTCCGGCTCAGGCAGACGGATGAGGACTTTCAGCAGGAACATGAGGAACACCGGTGGTGGAGCAGGTTAGGTTTTAGCAGTAGGTGGTGTGGTGACACCCATGGTGGATGGGATGATAACAACGTGGTCAGGAGCCAGAGCCAAGGTTGTAAACAGGTGATCAGGAGGATGAGACAGCGCAATAGTCAGTAGCCAGGCCAGGGTTATGCACGGTGGGTCAGGAGAAGCAGAGGCCTTAAACGAGCTGAGATCACGACCAGAGGTCAAACAGAAGGGGAAATACGCTGGCTAAGTCAGTAACGAGGAATCAAGACACACACAAGATACATTGCAGGCTAAAGATCATTCAGCAATCTTCTGTCACTGCTTCCTTCCTCAAATAGGGTGTGTGACACTAATTCCAGAATTGGATGCGCATGCGTGCCTTTCCAAGCAAGCGAGTGTGCCCATGCAGGATACTGATGGAACTACCTGACCTGTGCATTGGTGCATGTGCTCCTCTGTTTCGATTGGCATGCTGACTTATATACGTGTTTTTTGTTTTTTTTTTTAGTTTGGTTTTTTTTTTTTTTTTAACGGCTACCATTTTAGTCCACCAGATAGGACCCTGGACGAAGGTTAAAGCCATCAGAAGTGTCAAATAGAGTACCAAGAACAGTCATCTTAACCACTTCCAGACCGGACACTTTTACCCCCTTCCTGACCAGGGCAATTTTCAGCTTTCAGCGCTATCACACTTTGAATGACAATTGCGCGGTCATGCAACACTGTACCCAAATGAATTTTTTACCATTTTTTTGACACAGATAAAGCTTTATTTTGGTGGTATTTATTCACCGCTGGGATTTTAATTTTTTTTGCTATGTAAATGAAAAGGTCCAAAAATTTTGAAAAAAAAAAGTGTTTTTTTTATAGAATTTTGCAAATAAATAATATTTCATCATAAATCTTTGCAAAATTTATTCCGTTATCTTTTTAGTAAAAAAAAAAAAAAATCCAAATTAGTTTATAACCAAAAATTATAATTTTTTAACTTTTTTTTTTACATTTTTATTTTATTTTTTTATATTATTTTTTTATATTATTTATTAATTTTTTTTACATACTGTCACCCTAGCAGTACAGTGTCACCATGGTGACACTGTACTACTTGTGGGGGGTGATGAAGATTTTTTTTTTTTTAAACTGATTGCTTTTATACACCCATATAGGATGTAATGCAATCATTTCTCCTTCTCTCTGTCTGCATTCTTGCACTCATTGAGAAGTACTGAGTGAGCTGTGATTAGTCACACCTTGTCACATGGTACAAGGCTGTTGTGAATAGCCTTGTACCATGTGACCTCTATGATCATTCACAGATTTTACACATGTCAGAATGAGTGACATCTTGCTTACTACTTTGCATGTGATCACTGATTGGCCAATCAGTGATCACATGATCGGGACCTCGTACAGAGGTCCCGTCCGACGATCGGTGTTTCACTGTGTCCGGAGGATACAGCGGGCACCGGATCGCGGTGCTGCGCACTCCCAGGGAGCGCGCACAAGCAGGGTGCAGGGAGGCTGTTTGTAAACGGCCACCCAACCCTGCACTGCCACCGCCCGGCCGTTTATATGCAATGGCCGGTCGTGAAGTGGTTAAAATGACCTTGCACTAAAAAGCATGGCCGATTTATAACATCAGTCCCTCCACCCCATGGCAAAACACTGGATCATAACTTTACTACCTGCTGCCTTCATAAATCTTTTGGCCTGCTACTTGTGTTTTTCATTTGTATAAGATATGCATTAATCGTGTAGTTTCGTGGTGTCATTTGTTGCCCTGTAAACACAGTCTATAGTAGAGTAAATTTTTATATTGCTGTGTCCAAACATGAGACATGCAACATGGAATTGCACAGGTTAATGCTTTACCTCTGTCTGTAGTGTAAGAACTGACATCTCCCTGTAAAGAAACCACATATCCCACAGCAACTGGGTCTCTTAGTCTTGTGCTCTGCAGATGTGAGCTACACAGTGATTAGATCTGACACAGACACAAACAGGCAGAGCATTTACATTGAGCTCACCATACTGGAAGAGATGTGTTTTCATCACATTAGCACTCCCATATTTGTGATGTAACACAGAGGAAATGGTGAAGCATGGAATGGACCCTATAAGCGGTGTGCATGATGACGTCTTCTAGCCACTCCCCCTTATTATGTCCGTGGTGACGAAACGCGTCTGCTGGGCCGGAGGAAGAGGTGCAATTGCGCTGTTCTGAACCAGATATATGTTATTGTTGACCACAGAAGGAGGTTTGGATGGTCAGACACGTTGGTATATACAACACTGCCTGTGAATCTTACTGATATGTGAGTGCTTTACTTTTATTACATTTAAACTGCTTTTATTTGCTATACTATGAGTCTCCTTTTTCCTATGATTTTATGAATGTTATTATGGATTGAATGGAATGAAAGATGTAAGCACAGTCCAGCGGCATCCCGGTGTCGGATTTATAAACAGCACATGTGACCATTTTCTGAAAAGGTGGTCAGATTTAGCTGGTAAGGTGCATTGTTGGTGGTATTTGGTGGCAGTTGCTTTTCTCCTTCAGTGGAAGATTATTTGTGGAGGTCTTCAGTTCCGCATTTTTCACTGGACAGAGAGAAAACAGGTGGCGCACACACCTAGTGCATTATCCAAGGTTTATTGTAGAAATGAAATAATAAAAACATACTCACAGACGAAGCATGTATCTAAAAAGCATAGAAAAATGACAATGGCCACAACGGTGGGCAAGGTGTTCTCACTGTCAGTGCGGTCAAATGGCTGACGCGTTTCGGGGACGAATCCCTTTCCTCAGAGCTGATGACCAACCTCTGATGCTGATGTATGATGTATGGACAGAAAGAGCCTCGCTGTTGATGCCTCTTTCATTCATTATAATTTGGTTCATAGGCATTTGATGTTGGACTTTGTATGTTGGATCTTTTTTGAGAATTTTCTTGTTTGAAGAATAGTTCTTCTTCACAACACCATTTGTTCTTGTAACCACTATATGGTTTAATTTATTATTTATAATTAATGTATATTTCAGTGTATTTTAGCGCTGCACTTTTTTATTAGAGGATATTTGGGGTTTTGTATCACAATCCTTGGTATTAGCAGCTCTTTTTTTTTTTTGTATATACCCAAGTGTGGAATTTTACACATTTTTAATAATTATGCAATAGACAGCGCATAATCCGGAACAAGAAGTTGCCGTCCCTTTAGTGTATAGGGACAAGCTAGGTGAATGACTACATGGACATAGGGGAATCATTCAGTCATGACACTACAAACTGCAACCACAACATGTAAACCCATCATCACAAGGTAAGGCAAAAAAAACATCACAGGGAATAGAGCTACACTGATACCTAGTAAAAACAACAAAAACATTTGAAAGTGTGCACTGCCTTTAGGGCTCTGTTCACGCAGGCAAGTACTTGTGTGTCCCGTGCAGGGCCGTGTTTTGGCAGCACAGGGATGCACAGGTGTCACATGCATCCCCATGCCGAACTCCAAAAGATGTCTATTGGGACATGAGGCTGCATGGACACAGTCGCTGTGTCTCAATATAGGCCCTCATGCACACTTGACGTTTTTTACAGCGGCTGTTTTTTGCTTTTGACTTTTTAATAAACTCCTCAGCATGTTATCCTATGTGTCCATGCACACATAGGCTATAATCAGCATTTTTGGCTGGGAAAAAAAAAACGGAACTAGTGGGTTTCTAGGGGAGTTTTTTAGCTGTAAAAAACGCTCTAACGTTGAAAAATGCGGTAAAACACCCACAAACCTGTGTTTTTGGATTTTTTTTGATAAAAAGAATGCCAAAAATTTACAAACACGGGAAAACACCGCTAATTGCAGCTAAACACTAATGCAAAAAACGCTAGAAAAAGCTGAAAAACTCACGTTTTTAACGTGACTTTACACAGATAACATTACCAGCATTATCAAAATGTCCCGTGTGTGTGAGGGCTAACATCTGTGTGGGTGCAGCAAAACACAGCCCTGCATGAGACATGCAAGTAATTGCCCGTGTGAACGAGGCTTAAATATCATAAAGCACTGTGGAACATGGCGGCACTATATATTAGTGCATTACACCGCGTTCCAAATTATTATGCAAATTCTATTTAAGTGTCACAAAGATTAAATATTTTGTTTTTCAGTTTAACTCATGGATGGCATTGTGTGTCAGGGCTCTTTTGATCACTGAAAACAATCTCGGACACCTGTGATAATTAGATTGGCCAGTGAGCCCAATTTAAGGAAAAACTACTAAAGGACGGGTGTTCCACATTATTAAGCAGAGCACCATTTTCAAGCAATATGGAGAAGAAAAAGGATCTCTCTGCTTCCAAAAAGAGTGAAATAGTTCAATGCCTTGGACGAGGTATGAAAACATTAGATATTTCATGAAAACGTAAGCGTGATCATCGCACTATTAAGAGATTTGTGGCTGATTCAGAGCACAGACGGGTTGGTGCAGATAAAGGCACATTGAGGAAGATTTCTGCCAGATCCACGCATCGGATCAAGAGAGCAGCTGCTAAAATCCCATTACATAGCAGCAAACAGATATTTGAAGCTGCTGGTGCCTCTGGAGTCCCATGGACATCAAGGTGTAGAGTCCTCCAGAGTCTTGCAACTGTGCATAAACCTTCTCTTTCGGCCACCACTAACCAATGTTCACAAGCAGAAACGGCTGCATTGGGCAGAAAAATACATGAAGACTAATTTTCAAACAGTGCTGTTCACTGATGAGTGCCGTGCAACCCTGGATGGTCCAGATGGATGGAGTAGTGGATGGTTGGTGGACGGCCACCCTGTTCCAACAAGGTGGCGACGTCAGCAAGGCGGTGGTGGTGGAGTCATGTTTTGGGCCGGAATCATGGGAACAGAGCTAGTCGGCCCCTTTAGGGTCCCCGAAGGTGTAAAGATGACCTCTGCAAAGTATGTGGAGTTTATGACTGACCACTTTCTTCCCTGGTACAGAAGGAAGAACTATGCTTTCTGTAATAAAATCATCTTCATGTATGACAATGCACCATCTCATGCTGCAAAGAATACCTCTGCATCAATGGCTGTTATGGGGATAAAAGTAGAGAAAGTCATGGTGTGGCCTCCATCCTCCCCTGACCTCAATCCTATTGAGAACCTTTGGAGCATCCTCAAGCAAAAGATCTATGAGGGTGGGAGGAAGTTTACATCCAAACAGCAGCTCTGGGAGGCTATTCTGACATCTTGCAAACAAATTCAAGAAGAAAACTGTCCAAAACCTCACAAGTTCAATGGATGCAAGACTTGTGAAGCTGCTATCAAATAAGGGGTCCTATGTTACAATGTAATGCGACCTCTTAAAATGTTTAAAAAGTTAAAATGTTGTTAAAAGTTTGATTGAAATAGCTTTTGATTTCAGTAAATATGCTGCAAACACAACAAATGACAATTTTCAGTTCTTTACAACCTATAAAGTGTTTTGAAACTTCCTGTGCGGAATAATTTGGAACAGTCCATTGTGAGTTTTTTATGTTTAACAAAAATCCTGTTATCATTAGGAGGTTTGTTCAATAAAATGTGAATTGTACTCTTAATAGTTGATAACATGAGAATTATACTGACTGTTATTTACATCAATTATTTAGGTAAATGAGAAAAATATCATTTGCATAATAATTTGGAACAGGGTGTATAAGCTGAACCATGCAAATCTGTCTTCTTAAAACAGAAAGTACTTACTGATCACTTTTGCCGAATTTCAAAATGAAGGTCTGTATTCCCTGTCGTATGGCATTAAGCAGAAATGTGATCATCATTATTTTGTCCATCTGCAGGTTTATAGCCGTGGTGTGAAACCTGTTGAGTGGTACTCTAAAAATGGGTCCCCACCCACATTTTTTGACGTTCCTAAAGCATTTGCTATGAAATTTGTTCATTTCTGTTGTATTAACAACTACATGGTTTTGGCATCCTAGAAAACCGGCGAACCGAAAAGCGGGTCTGCAATATAAGACTACCGTGTTTTTTGCCATTTGGGTCATAAATAGGATTTTATGTCAGATAGAGTAAGGCACATTTACTGTACAGTATCCAACTTGCACTTGTGGCTTCAAGCTTGTTAACTACTAGCTGCCATCAGAGCAAGGTACAAAGACTATGGCTTCCGTAATTTTCAGGCCATGAAGGTGAACTTCACTCCCTACACTTTTTGGTGGCCCCTACATCACTTCTGTGTCTTATAGTGTGGCAAGAAACTGGCGGAAGGAACCACATCATATAGTGTGGGACCAGGAATCTATTTAAATACCGTATTTTTTGCTCCATAAGACGCACCTAGATTTTTGGAAAACAAGAAAAAAAAATTCTGAACCAATGGACTGCAGACATAGTACAGGAGATGGCCAGAGACTGTGGACATAGTACAGGGGATAACCAGAGACTGCGGACATAATACAGGAGATAACCAGAGACTGCGGACATATTACAGGAGGGGGCCAGAGACTGCGGACATAGTACAGGAGATGGCCAGAGACTGCGGACATAGTACAGGAGATGGCCAGAGACTGCGGACATAGTACAGGAGATGACCAGAGACCAGAGCGGACACAGTACAGGAGATGACCAGAGACTGCGGACATAGTACAGGAGATAACCAGAGACTGCGGACATAGTACAGGAGATGGCCAGAGACTGCGGACATAGTACAGGAGATGACCAGAGACTGCGGACATAGTACAGGAGATGACCAGAGACTGCGGACATAGTACAGGAGATGACCAGAGACTACGGACATACTACAGGAGATGACCAGAGATTGCGGACATATTACAGGAGATGAGACCAGAGACTGCGGACATATTACAGGAGATGACCAGAGACTGCGGACATATTACAGGAGATGACCAGAGACTGTGGATATAGTACAGGAGATGACCAGAGACTGCGGACATATTACAGGAGATGACCAGAGACTGCGGACATAGTACAGGAGACGACCAGAGACTGCGGACATAGTACAGGAGACGACCAGAGACTGCGGACATACTACAGGAGACGACCAGAGACTGCGGACATACTACAGGAGACGACCAGAGACTGCGGACATAGTACAGGAGACGGACCAGAGACGACTGCGGACATAGTACAGGAGACGACCAGAGACTGCGGACATAGTACAGGAGACGACCAGAGACTGCGGACATACTACAGGAGACGACCAGAGACTGCGGACATAGTACAGGACTGACGACCAGAGACTGCGGACATAGTACAGGAGACGACCAGAGACTGCGGACATAGTACAGGAGACGACCAGAGACTGCGGACATAGTACAGGAGACGACCAGAGACTGCGGACATAGTACAGGAGACGACCAGAGACTGCGGACATAGTACAGGAGACGACCAGAGACTGCGGACAGCGGACTGCGGATAGTACAGGAGACGACCAGAGACTGCGGACATACTACAGGAGACGACCAGAGACTGCGGACATAGTACAGGAGATGACGACAGAGACGACCAGAGACTGCGGACATACTACAGGAGACGACCAGAGACTGCGGACATAGTACAGGAGACGACCAGAGACTGCGGACATAGTACAGGAGGCGACCAGAGACTGCGGACATACTACAGGAGATGACCAGAGACTGCGGACATACTACAGGAGACGACCAGAGACTGCGGACATACTACAGGAGATGACCAGAGACTGCGGACATACTACAGGACCTTTGGGGGGGGGGAGGCTGGTACCTGAATTTGACAGGTACCCGCTCCCACTTCCGTGGAGTTGTCCTCCCTCCCCATAGTTTTGTGGGACACGTGACAGGTCCCACAAGACTACTGGGCCATTCAAAAAGTGCAGCGCTTCTCGCGCATGTGCAATGGCCACCCGGCTGTGAAGCCGCAAGCTGTCACAGCCGGGTGCCCACACTGAAGATGCCGGAGCCAGAGAGAGAAGACGGCTGATGGAAGCAGGACACCGCTGGACTGAGGAACAGGTAGGACGGAGGAGCAGGTTCTTGTGCACAGTAGTAGAGCCGAGCGGCTGGCCCGGTGTGAATACTGGTGTGAATGCGGCGGTGGTGTGAATACCGAGCCGGCCACTCCATATGATGCACAGACATTTCTCCCCATTTTTTGGGGGGAAAAAAGTGCGTCTTATGGAGCGAAAAATACGGTAATAATTCCAGGCAATTGGTATGTTATACATAGTTACATTAGCCCAGCTAGGACCAATGTAACAGTGGGAATCAGGGGCGGACTGACAACTCATGGGGCCCCCGGGGGTATAGGGGATCATGGGGCCCCTGTGTCCTTGCCCAAACTCAAGCCTATAAAAAAAAGGTTCCAGGGGCATCTCATGGGGACCCCTACTGACCCTGGCCCCTCGAGTAGTGCCCAAATTTCCAAATGGTCAGTCCGCCCCTGGTGGGAATTATTTGCAAAATCTGGCGCAAGTCTGCATAGGAACCAATCAGCTTCCAGGTTTTGTTGTCAAAGCCTAATTGAACAAACTGATGTTAAAAGCTGAATGGCTACCATGTACAGCTGACCCAGATTCTGAGTGCACGAGTTTTAGTAAAGCCCCCCCTACCTTTCAATATAAAAAATCTTTTTACACTCATCTTTTAAAGCTATGCAAATAAATTAATAAGCTGCAGCACAAAAGTGATCAGCTTCAGTAGAATAATACATAAAAAAGCCATGCTCTCAATAAATAAATATTACCACAGGTCCATGTTAACCTCTTCACGACGTCTGGGCCTAGATGCCGAGCGTCCGCACATTTGCGTGCAATTACCAAAAAACATATGTGTTGAGAGCATGCACCCTGCGCGCTCCCAGCACATATGTTCGGTACTCACGGAAAGGTCCCGGTCTGCTCTTTCGATCGGGACCTTTCCCGATCATGTGACCGCCGTGATGACGCGTCATGGCGGTCACATGGTCCCTAAACCCCACCCCGCCCGTCCCGCCTCCCAGCTTCTGAAATTCTTAATGGGCCGGGAGGCGCCGGCTGGAAGGGGTTAATCTCTATATCAAAATACACCCCAGATTCCTGAAAATTCTAACCATTTCTGTCTGGTCCACTCTCTTCTCCTCCTCATACCTGCCCATAGACATCGCTACTTCATTGATCTTCACTAGCATCTGGGTCGCATGATGTCACGCTCTCCACCTTTTGCACTCGAAGAAAGCTTTACATTCATTCAGAGAGGCATAGGCGCCATTCAATTCTTTGAATGGTGCCTGTGCCAAGCAACCGACCTCTTGCGTTTACAGTGCAGGAGAGAAATCGCTCGGCATTGGACTCTGAAGCAAATGGAGATCACTGGAGTAGTTTCCAGGGGCATCAGCCAGTCATGGTGTATACAAGGTGTGGCAATTCAACCACTTTCCCTCCAGAAGATTTATCCCATTTACTGAGCAGGCAATTTTTTGCGATACAGCGCTTCGTTACATTAACTGACAATTGCGCGGTCATGCAATGCTGCACCCAAATGAAATTTGTCTATTTTTTCCCACAAATAGAGCTTTCCTTTGGGGATATTTGATCACCTGTGCGGTTTCTATTTTTTGCGCTATAAACAAAAAAGACAATTTTGAAAAGAAAAACCCAATATTTTTTATTTGCTGCTATAACACGTATCCAATAAAAAAAAAAAATTAAAAATCAAATATCTTTGTAAATTTAGACCAAAATGTATCCTGCTACATATTTTTGGTAAAAAAATCCCAATAATTGTATATTGATTAGTTGGAGCAAATGTTTTAGTATCCACAAACTATGGTACATATACTGGAATTTAAAAAAAAAAAAAAGTTGATTGTATTGGCGGCGATCAGCGACTTATAGTGGGACTGCAATATTGCGGTGGAAGTTTTCACACTAACTGACACTTTCTGGGAACCAGTGATACTAATACAGTGATCAGTGCTAATAATATGCACTGATCACTGTACTAGTGATGCTGGTTGGGAAGGGGTTAACATCTAGGGTGATCAGAAGGTTAAGCGTGTGCCTAACCATGTGCTTGGTGTACGCTAGGCGCCGTTTTTACTATGGGAAGTGATGAATCGTGTTCTCACCTCTGCAGAGATACACGATTCATGACTCCCCCCCTATCACAACAGAACTGTATGTATGTCAACATAGATACAACTCTTTTCTTCTTCCCTGACCAACGATCTGCAGGTGCCGGAAAGCAACTGCTTGCCGGGGCTTGTAGATCGATTTGTACTGTGACATTTGACAGCAGAAGCGATCCTCCGGCAACGGTTGAGCGCTCCCGTGTAGCGAAAGTGCAAATCATGCATATATATGTGATTTTGTACAGGAATGCCGCCTTGTAGCAGTAAAACTGCTATAGGGCAGATGTTAAGTGGTTTTAATAACTGGAATGCCCATAGTGCGGCCCTATGGTGGTGAGTCACACAGCCATTCACGCTTGAGCGTGTTCTGAAAAGTTCTAACTTGCACTCGCCTGGGTCGCAGGCCAGTTGACTCAGTCTTCACAGAGTAGAAGAAATACCACGTGTGTGTTGCACTGTTGGTGGAAAATGAGTGACAGGAATCTGGAGCAGCGAATTAACATCAAATATTGTGTGAAAATTGGCAAAAATTCACAGCACAGTCTATAAATGGTTAGCACTTCCACCTGGCAGTACTAGGGTTGTTGGTTCGAATCCCAACCACGGCACCACCTGCCTAGAGTTTGCATGTTCTCCCTGTGCCTGTGTTGGTTTCCTCCACATTCCAAAGACATGCTGGTAGGTTAATTGGATCCTGTCTAAATTGGCCCCTTGTATGTGCATGTATGAATGTAAGTTAGGAACTTTAGATTGTACACCCCTTGAGGGTTAGGGACTGATGTGAATGTACAATATATATGTAAAGCGCGGAGTACATTGATGGCATTATATAAGTACCTGAAATAAATAAAATAAGTGAAATGGGCTTATGGTGAACATGCCATGAAGAAAGCAAGTGTATTTGAATGGCATGGGCGGTTTAAGAAGGGGCAGGAAGGTGTCCATGATGATGCAAGAAGTGGACAGCCAAAAACACAAAGGACAGATGCAAATGTAGACAGAGTACGAACTCATGCTGGTGTGGGTTTTTTTTTTTTTTTTTTTTTTAATCACAAAGGGATAGTTCATTACAAGTTCATAGAACATGGTAAAGCGGTCAACCAACATTGTTACTTGGAAATTCTGAAAAGGTTAGGGGAATCTGCTCAGAGTGAGCTCAGGCCTGATAGATTGATTCTCCACCATGACAATGCTCCTGCACAAAGTTTTTTTCCACACCTCGTACATAGTTACATTGGTCCAAGCGGGACCAATGTATCTATGTATAAAATACCCATAACTGGAATTATTTTTTTTAACGTCTGTTTTTTACATGAAAATCTTTTCATTTTGTATTTCAATAATTTTTATTAGTTTATAAACATTTAAAAAAAACAGGAGCAACAAGACACGCCCACGCAGAGGCCATCAATTACACATAAAAAAAAATAAAGAAAACCATGCTCTAACACCAACAAAACAAAAATGCGCCCGCACAGGGGCTATCAATGGCACATAAATGACTAAAACATTGGTATAACATCAACAGTAACTCAAACTAAAGGCAGCAATCCACCACCACACCAAAAAACAGAAATAGAAAAGTGTTGGATTTTTGACACATATAATACTTCTTTAGTGTCTTGAGGCGATTATGAATGAAAGAGCCGTTGAAATAAAAAGTAAAGTGTGATTTTATTCTATCACACAATGGCTTAAAATAACAATGTAAAGCGTATCATGAACAGTTCCATGTAGATAAAACCAGAAATATCAAGCAGAAGTTTAGAGATAAGTCACCATTATTGTCATGGCTGTCTGGCCATGTGCATGTTTGTCCTTCATGTGGTCTTGTCTTGTTCAACGTAGCTGAGTCCGAGCAAGAAGAAGGAAGTGACGTTAATGACTATTTCTTGTCTTACAGAACGCATCTGTTCCAGCTTCTCAGAATGTTCTTATGCATGTCTGTTTGGACAGACGTGTGTGTGATTGTGTATGAATGTGAGCCTGTGTGTCCAATTTAGACTGTCCCTTAACCTCCCTGGAGGTATTCCCGAGTGTAGCTCGGGGTAAAGTTTCAGTACCACAAGCGGTAACCCCGAGCTACACTCAGGAATACCCTGCAGTGCTGCTCCGGGATCCCTTGATCACTTACCTTGTCCTGCGCTCCTGCGATGTCCCTCCTGCAGTGTCCCATGTATTGTCCTCCGGCTGATGCCGGCATCAGTCATCTGGGTTCCGTCCCCTGCGAGCGTCGGGACGTACGGGGGACGGAACGGCAGGAAATTTGAAAATTACAAAAAGTGACATTCACTAAAATCACATAGTATAACATTCCCGT